AATATTCATGGAGTATTACACCCCTTCGCGTTTAAGGGGTGGAAGTCTAATAATAATGAAAATTTGTTATTAGTGGAGATTCACTAGTGATGTGAAAAATACTAGTTCACATTTTTCTTCGCGAAAAAACAATTGTGTTATCAATGTTCGCGGAAACATATACGTTTGATAATATTCATGGAGTATTACACCACTTCACGTTAAACGGGTCGTGAAACTTCACTGTGTAGTGTGAATAGTTTTTTTTAGGAAGTACTGAAGAGAGCCTCTAAGAAGGGCGTGCTGAAGAATCTTGATTTCTATGAGAAACTCGATCGGGAACAGCAAAACTACTTAGTAGACGTTGTTGAGGAATGTGAGTGTGTTGTAGCAGGGCGTCGTCCAGCTCTCGGAAATAACGTTCCTAGGATCCCGCGGAGAGTAGGAACAAATGTTCCGAATGAGTAATTTTTATAATGGGGAGAATCTCGAAAATCGGCGGGGAATATGTTCCTAGCTGTTTTGAAACGGCATTAGTTTGTTCGAGAGGATTTCGAGTTCCTGTTTTGTAGTTGTATTTTGCACATGGTCAACCACATGTGTTGGTGACAATCTGAAAACTGCTAGGAAATTTGGGGTAGTTTCTGCGAAGTCTCCAGATCGGTATATAATAGTTAGTGAGGAAGCTGTTGAGCTCATCAGCTGAGGAAAGCGAAAATATTTTGGAGTGGTATTGTTGTGGTATGCAGATCATTACAAAAAAGGAGAAATGGTGGTCAAAGGGAAAGGTGATGATGAGTCCAGGGTTTTTATAGTGCTGTGTGGCTCGGTGAGTTGAAGGGTGGATAAATGGTGAAATGGTTAGTTGTCGTGGTTTTGAATCGATCCACCCGGGTTCAAATCTGTGTGGAGGTATTTTATTTCTTTTTCAGGCGGAGTTGCGACCAGCTGCCTCACATAATGGAAACTCCTCTAGAGTAAATCACACGGCGTTGGAGGTTGGCAGCAAAGTTAGAGAGTTTGGTTGTGTTAGGAGGTTACTGCTGGTTGCTGTGTGGGTGAGGAGGAGTTTTTGGACAACCGCAAAATTGATTTTATGTTGACTGCCACCAGTGCTCATGGAGTAAGAAAGTGATAGTGAATGATTTTTGAAGGGGGGTTTCACCCGTTTTACGTGAAGTGGTGTAAAACGCGATAGACACCATTGAAAACACTCGGCGAATTGCACCTCATTTCACGTGAAATACATGACTTGTTTTTTCACGCGTTACTCACTGACAAAGTGCGTGTTTTTCGCGAAGGGGAATGTGAAATATTTTTTCTGCTAATGTTTTAATATCACGGGTGAAACTTCGCAGTGATGGTGAAATTACTGTTAAACTACCATTAGGAATGAACAAAATGGTTTATACGAAATTGGAAATATAGATTTTCGAAATTATCGTGAGAATAGCTTGGGAGTCTTTGAACGTTACTGAGTTTGGAGACTAGTCTCGTTTTTATTCCATTTCTGAGCAGTTACACGTATTTGCGATAAAGAGCGCGGCCTTTCTGGAAAAGCTAAGGAATAGTTTTAATATGGTGAGTTATGATGAGAGTATTGTTGGAAGTTTTACGTGAAGTGGTGAGAAAGTTCGGGTGATATTCGCGGTGATATGTTTGTGAAATGTATTTTCAGGGGCGTTTTTTTTTCATATCACTAGGCTCAAACTCCACGTGTAAATATTATATTATTATATATTTTATTAATCCTATCCTGGCTGCATAGAAAGGGAGTTGAATCACACTGTTTGCAGCTAATGCCGCAGTGTTCATTGCTTGGAGTCTCACCCATTTCACGTGATGTGACGTAAAACTCGGTGAAAAACGCGATATTCGCGGTGATATGCAGTGGTCGTGAAATATGTTTTTCATATCTCTAGGGTGGTGGTGAAACTCCATTAATATCTATTACTTTTGATGTCTCTACCGACACACACTGATAAGAAGCGATGGACAAATTTCAAGATTAATTTCATTAAAAACTCAACCGCTTTACGTTAGTAGTTATTTATTTGTAGGTTCACCCATTGTACGATGTGTCGTCATCTTCCCCTGCTGGGAGGCCGCCTTGCGTGCGACGCTATCTTGAATGGAACGAAGTGAGAGCAGCGGAAAACGGGCGCGCGGGTTTATTATAAATTTCATATTTGAAATTTTGTTATTTGGGATGAGAAATCAGAATCGTGAATATGGTTGTTTATACATGTTGTGTTTTTTATTGTTTTTAACGCGAAAATAAAATGAAAATTCCAAAAAATTAGAGTAAATTTTGTGAAAATATTTTCTTGGTTTTTCAGATATTGCAAGAAATATATTTATTTGAAACTCTCATCAAATAACAGCTTTATAGAATACGTTCATTTTTTCCTCGTTTTTGATGCAAAAAATTGTAAATTTCGGAAATTTGGTATGTTAGCGATGTCATCGGAGTTTCACCCGTTTTACGGGAAGTGGCGTAATATTCCACGTGAAAAACGTGATATTCGCGAAGTGAAATGTGTTTTTCACTGGTGTTTTTCATATCACGGCTGAAACTCCATTTTTCTGATTGATTTTCAGATCCGATCGATATTGCAGGAAATATATTTATTTAAGACTCTCACGAAAGAGCAGCTCTCGAGAGTGGTGATGAACATGTCGAAGCAAAGTTTTGATGCTTTTGCAAAAATCTGCACATTTGTAAGCGTTGAGGAAATGCAAGTGGAGGTAAGATTTCAAGATTTGTGTATGTTGTTGTTAGGGCGATTCGTCTGATAATTTTTATCTGATCGGAAAAGGAAGTGTGTCGGTGGAAATACCCGGGAAGGTGAGGAATTGGATGAATTCTCGCTCGCCCGAAATTACTGGTTCTTAAGAGCGTTTATTGAATGTTCACGACCGGTTAGTAAAACTCCATGTGAAAAAGGCTATATTCGCGGTGATATGCAGTAGTCGTGAAAATATATTTTTTCACTGGTGTTTTTTATATCGCTAATGCACTGTTCCACTCAACGACTAGAGCGGAACGGGTAGATATATACACATATAGGTTAGAAAGCGGTACAGTAGATGAGGAACGAGACTATGTAGGTTAGAGTGGTGGTGCAACTTCATTGAGGTTATGACGGTTTTCCGATATCCTTTGAGTCGACGAAACAGCGTCTGATCTCACGTAGAACGTAAGATTAATATCAGCTTAAAAGGTCTATGGAAGTTCAATCGTAGCAGACTAACATACTAGCTTGACGCTAGATACACAGCTACATCACAATTATAAGACAACTATGGAGGACAATCGTTTGTGTCTTCGAGTGACTACAACATTGTAACTACTCATTATCGAAAGCCATACAGGCTGAATACAGCACAAGGTCCCGGGTTCAAATCGCGCAAATGTTATTTTATTTTCAGGGGGTAGTTCGTACATTATCAAGATGGGAATATTTTGGTGAGCGCGGGTTGTTATTTGAGATTCCTAGAAGTGCTACTATAACAGCAGCTGAGCCAACGACGTGTTTGATGTTACAAAAACAGGTAGGGGCATTTCATGGTTTCTATTGTAGTAGTGTTGCAAACTTTTGGGGTAGTGAGTGAGAATGAGTGCTTAAAAGGGCGAAATAGGATTTTCTAATGGAGATTCACCTTAGTGATATTTCACGACTACTGCATATCACCGCGAATATCGCGTTTTTCAAAGAGTATTATTACGACACTTTACGTAAAACGGGTTGTGAAACTCCATAGTATGAAATTATAAATATTTCCTCGTTCGCACTTGGTTTTTTAGTAAAAAGGTATGCATTTAGGTGCAGTTTCACCACCCTAGTGATATGAAAAACGCTAGTGAGAAACATATTTCACGACTATTGTTGCATCGCGCAAATATCGCGTTTTTCACGGAGTTTTACGCCACTTCACGTAAAACGGGTTGTGAAACTTCAGTTAATATACACGATTGCGAGTTTTAAGTTCAACTATGACAACAGTAGTTATGATGAATGTCAGCTCAGGAGAAAGCGATTTATTATATTGGAATAGTTCCTTGAGAATGTTGCTCACCGGACGAGGAAATTTTTCTTGATTTTTTTGTAATTTTTTTGTAATTTTTTTGTAATTTTTTATTTTTTTTCGTAATTTTTTTAGGTTTTTCTGGATATCGTCGGTCCGTTTAGACAGTCTCTGGTGAATCGGATCGAACTACAGGTGGGTGTTGATTTATTGAGAATTGAAAATGCGATGGAAAAATTAATATTATGGAGTTTCAGCGTAGTGATGTGAAAAAACAGTGGTGAAAAATATATTTCACGACTACTGCATATCACCGCGAATATTGCGTAAAACGGTGGAACTCCGCTGAATGATGACGTATGTTTTTTTTCGTATCGCGAGTGAAACTCCATTGTTTAGGACGAGACTGTTAAAAAGGACGATTTGGAGCCTGTCGCCGTTGTTGGTTACGGAACTTTTGGAAGAGTTTTTCTGGTGAGAAATAGGAAAAGTCCCGAAAAAGAGGTGAAAAAAATATTTTTTGCGATTTTTTTATTTGTTATTTTTTCAGTATGCATTGAAAGCGGTGTCGAAGAAACATGTGGTTGCGATGCAGCAGGAAAATTCGATCAATATTGAGAGGAAAATATTACTTCAACTGTATCACCCCTGCATAGTGCAGTTTGTGAAAACTTTTCAAGATGAGAAAAATGTGTAGGTGAATGTTTGTGTTCGCTTTCCTCAGTTGAGCTGGAGAGTTGCCATTCGTAGTTATACGAAGTAGGGTATGGGAATAAGAATTTTTCCAGAATTTTCTCTCAGAATTTTAAGATTGTTACTAATACATGCAGTTGACCATGTGCATATTTCCCGCGACGTTGGGAACGTAAATGACGTAATTTCTAAGAGGAGTTCTCCAGTTTTGGAAAATAACGCTCCCTAGGTTTTGATAATATTGGAGTTTCACCCGTGAAGTGGCGTAAAACTCGGTGAAAAACGCGATATTCGAGGTGATATGCAGTAGTCGTGAAATATATTTTTCATATCACTAGGGTGGTGAAACTCCATTGTGTCATTATATGGAAACTTGATGGTATTTTTGGGGTTTTTGTCAGATATTTTTTAACGGAATTTTTGGGAGGTGGTGACTTATTCAATGCTATTCGCGAGATTGGGAACCTGAGCGAATTCCAAGCCCGTTATTATTCGGCGAGTATAATATTGGCGATCGAATACCTGCACGAAAAAGGAATAATGTGAGTAGATATGAATTCTCATTGGAGTTTCACAACCCGTTTTACGTGGAGTCGGTGAAAAACGCGATATTTGCGGTGATATGCAGTAGTCGTAAAATATGTTTTTCATATCACTAGGGTGGTGAAACTCCATCGAAATGGTTTAAAAAAGACTAGTGAGAAACATGTTTCATATTCAATTTGCGGAAAAGGCATGTGAGAAGTGAATAACGCGTAAAACGCGCAGACGTTTTAGAAGCGTTTCGTAGTCTTTAGTCGTACTAGTCTCAAGCGATGTGGAAAATGTAGTTATGTATAACTGTTTGCTTCGCACTGTATGAAGAAGTGTTCATGTATTTTAATAGGTATCGAGATTTGAAGCCAGAGAATTTACTGTTGGATTTTGACGGCTGTGTGAAGTTGGTTGACTTCGGCTGTTGCAAGCAGGCGTCGAGGTCGTACACTCTTATGGGAACTCCAGAGTAAGTAGGGATTGTATTTATGGAATATATGTTGTTCGCTTTCTTCGGATGATCTGAGGAGTTTTCATGTATGAGTTTGGCGGAGTTTTCTGAATTTTGATATTGTCACCAACGTATGTAGTTGATTATGTGAAAGATTACTCAGCTTTACATGAAGCGTTGTGTATCCATAATCGATCACTCGGGCGAGCGCTTTTTTCTATGTGCAGGTATATAGCACCAGAAGTGATACTAGGACGGAGTTATACGGATTGCATTGATTGGTGGTCGACTGGTGTTTGTATGTATGAGTTTATATGTGGACCTTTGCCGTTTGGTGGTGACACTGACGATCAGCTGGAGTTGTTTCGGCAGATCATCGGTGAGTGCCGAAATATATGTTTGGTTTTCCTCAGCTGAGTGTAGGAGTTTCTGAAGGTATGTTATAGAAGTTTGCAAACGAATTTGGGTAGAAGTGTGCAGAAAAAATGAGAATTTCTCAAAATTTTTTTCAGAAATTTCATAACACACGTAGTTGGGCATGAGCTGATTTCGATCTAAAAAAAGTGAGTTTATTCGCGATGAGAATTTTTTGACTATATACATATTTCCCAAACTACTTGTTTTTGATGTTCAGAAGCACCATTAAGGTTTCCGTCGTGGTTGCGGGATCAAAACGCGAAGTCTATTATCACAGGGTTGATGCAAAAAAATCCTGAGGAGAGGCTTGGCGGAGGCGTCTCGGGAGCTAAGGAGATAAAGCGACATCCGTACTTCAAGAAATTTGATTTCGTAAGGAGGGGATGCTGATTTTTTAATAATAATAACGATATTGGAGTTTCACCCGTGAATAACATGTCCATTATATATTTATTTTATATATGTTCATAAGCATTACTAATCTAGTTATATATTATTAGTCAATGGTGAATTCTATATTATTATTTTATGGTGATGCATGGTATTGATGATATTGATAGTAATGTAAATTTTTGGTGAAGAATGCAACGCAGGGGTGGTTTGTGAAAATACTGGAGTTTTACGAATTTTTCGCGAAGTGGTGTGATACTCTGTGAAAAAGGCGATATTCGCGGTGATATGCAGTAGTCGTAAAACATGTTTTTCATATCACTGAGTGGTGAATTTCTGTTGATTCTCGTGTGACGAACTTGAAGGAGTTTTTTGCGAAGTTACTGCGTTGTTCAATACGTTTTGGAAATTTTTTTTAAAATGAAAATTTTGGTATGTGATTTAGGACGGGCTCTTATCGCGGAGTGTGAAGTCGCAGTGGGTGCCCGATAGAGAGCAAACGATGAAGCAGTGGATAGATGCAACTGATCCTGGGCTGTTGAGTTTGGAAAACTCAGGAGAGGTGAGTGATAGTTTAACGGTGTTTCATCCGTTTCATGTGAAGTGGCGAAAATCGCGATATGTTGTGGTTTATGAAATTTGTTTTTCGTATCGTGGGTGAAACTCCGGTCAGCGTATGTGAGTAACAGTGCTGGAGGAATATATGTTTGTTTTCGTCAGCTGAGCTTCGGAGTTTACATGCTAATTCGGGTGGAAGTGATTAGAAATCAAGTAGAACGAAAATTTTAACAAAATTTTCTCAATTTTCTCCACAGTAATGAGATTGTTCAGGAAATGGCGGATGGTTGTGTGAGCATGGACTGGGCTAAGGACTTCTGATGATGCTACTACTACTACTACTACTACTACTACTACTACTACTACTACTACTACTACTACTACTACTACTACTACTACTACTACTACTACTACTACTGTTAGTTTGTAGTTAACTACGTCTGGTGGCTGTGTCCCTTTAGACGTAGTTTGCTTTTACTGTGTCGGTCTTGTCTCATAAGCATTCAATGAACAATCTTGTTGTGTGATTTAATAAGCGGTTTGTCAAGATAGAATTGATTGGGGACAGAAGTTGTGCAATTTCATCACAGGATGATGAACGGAGGTTTATCTTCCCCCATCGGTCTTAGCTCATAAGCGTGTTGTGTAGTTTTTTGATGTGGACTTGCGGTTTATTGTGATGGAATATATGTTAACTTCTCTCAGCTACTGGGCTCGGGAGTTTGCTGACTAATTATAGGAGTTTATACTCGAATTTGGGTAGAGGTGAATGCATGCCGACCATCAGTTTGTGATGCACCGGTTTAGTTTCGTTTTTCTCCCCTTATAGAACTAGATAGGTAGTTACTTGTGTCGTGGGTCCACGCTCTGGAGGAGCTCGTTTTCTCGGGCGTGGTGATTCTGATGTCACTCGCCCTATTGTGGACGCAGACACATGTAGTTGAGCATGTGCATATAGTGCAGTAGTGATGAAGTGAGAGAAAGAGTGCACTTTTGATAGTGATTTGAGGGTAATCGCAGCTAGCGGAGGATTCATAATGTCTTGTTTTTCTAACTAACGGTGTGCATTGAAGTTTCATCTGTTTCACGTGAAGTGGTGTAATGCTCCTCGTGAATTATAAGACGTATATGTTTACGCGAACACCGATGATACGATTGTTTTCCGGGAATGAAAATATGAATGTACTTGAGTTTCACGACCCGTTTCACGTGAAGTGGTATAATACTCCATGCAAACTATAAGACGTATATGTTTCCAATTGTTTTCCGTGGAGTAAAATGTGAAATATGTGTTTCACTCACGAGTTTTTTATATCACTAGGGTGAGTGCAGTGTGGATAATTTGATTATCAGAGGATGAGCGGAGCGGAGACAATTGTGATATCTACAAGGGGCGTATTACATTCTTACGCGATTTCGTAAATGTAATTTCGTTTCACGCTTACTAAGTGGAGTTTTGGACGGATACTTTGATACGGCTTCGATATAGTAATGAGTTATGATGCACTAAGCGTGACCGTTACTCATATACAATGGCCTAGCAAAACTTATGTGAGTTTGAGATGAGGATTGTGCAATTGCGTCTGAGGATGATAAGCGGATGTCGATCGTTTCCTACTGGTATTGAGATGACAACATATAAGTTTAGTATCTGTTGGAAAGTGAGGAGTATTATGATCATGAGTAATAATAAAGGAGAGCAATGGTACAGCCGATAGGGGTTGGCATTTCCGAATCATAAGGACAGACAGTAGACCAAGTATAACACCTAGACTCTTGATTTGAGTGTAGTGAGGCTTCAGCTGTCATAACCAAGGCTCTGAGGAGCTCACTTGTTGGTGGTCTGATTGTTGTAGGAAGATGTGATGAGTGCATCATGGGACGATGAATGGCGTCGAGCGCCTCCGAGTAGCTATGTACCTGCGTGCGATAAGTTCATTGTCATTGTATAGAGGCGATATCAGTTTAAGACCTCTCAGTCTTGGTTAGAGTTTGGTCCGTTACGCCGTCCCACCAACAAATGGTAGGTTATGCACTGAGGCGGTGCTAATACTGTAGGAGCGAACGGTGCATCGTTCGGTCTTGCATAGTGAACATAACATAAACAGATATATGAGGAGGTTGAGTTTCAGTCACTCACTTGAGTGGTGAAGTGGTTTTGCAGTGGTCGTGAAATATCAGACGGTACAGGTGTTTACCGATGGTCCGGGGAAACCAGCACGCATGTGCAGTTGGAGTTCCCCCCCAGCCTTCCGCCCGGGGAGATGCGGGCTAAGGACTTCGCTTCCTCGTTGTCCGTCGCCCTTCCTGGGTGATCCGTTGGTGCGGTCTCCTGCCGTTCAGCACACTGTGTATATTTTCCAATCACGATATAATGATTTGATCCCACTTCTGTATCTTTGAGATCATTGCACCCGCTACCAGTGTTGGAATATATGTTCGGTTTCCTCAGCTGAGCTCAGGAGTTTTCTCACCAATAATAGGAGTTCGTATACGGATTCAGGTGAGATTGTAGAGAAACCAATAAGAATTCCCTCAAGTTTCCTCAGAATTTCCATATCGGCACCTACACATGTAGTTGACCATTTGCATATTTTCCCGCACTGCCCGCCACACCGCCGATCAAGCTTATTCAAGGCTTTCATATTCCCTTAACCCTCTCTGTTGGGTTCTCTCACCCTATAGGATTGGACTTGCCCAGAGTCAAAATGTTGCTTACAAACCTCTGGAAGATTTTTTTTGTTTTCCGCTAGTGTTTACCCCATATCACGGGTGAAACTTCAATAAATGGGATTCTGCGTAGTTGTAGACGTAGGACTCAATTTAGTGAATCCGAGTAGATATCGTTCATTGTTTCAATGGCGGCAAGAAGCTCCATCGAGAGCCCCGAGAGCTCAGCATCCAACGACTCAGAGTAAGGGAGCTCGTATGGTGCTCGTTGTTAAATTATAACTCTCGCCGTTGTTGTTGTTGTTGTTGTACTTAATTGAATGAGCTTATAGCCCAATAATGTTGAGGATCCCACCTCAGCGAGGATTGTGGAATTAGTGTTATGAATATCACACGATTGACAACGGAATTGATCGTGTATTGATGAAAATGCCAGTGGTGGAGTTTCTACTATGGGGAACACTTTCTACTATCCTTTTCACATATCGCCTACTGTAACGTATCGCGTGGAAATATGAGAGGATCCTCCATCGCTTATTAAGGAAACGTATAATCGCTATGAACAAGCGAACAACCATAGCGAAGCGAAGCGATAATATACAGAGAGAATTGATATGAGGGTATGACGTGAAGAAATAGATGTGTTCAATCATCTCAACCTTAGCAATTCTGTTCAAATCTACACTATGGAAGATAAATTCGATGTTTAGAAATAGAAGGATAAGATCCTCTTGACGGTATCATCACCATAGCAGTATTGTTCTGGAGTGAGCGGGAAATTACATTTATTTGATGCTTAGATGCAATCCCTACAAACTGCCAAGTTCGGACTCATCGATTCGACGTTATGGTGAGCGCCGGCGAGAACGTGAAGAGGCTGTGGCTCAGCAACGGAAGCAACTGCCAGTGGGTCGGTGTAGATACATTATTGTAGTATTAGACTTTTGAGCAGTGTTCTAATTGACTGGCATGCCCAACTACATGTGTATGTGAAATTCTGAGGGAAATTTTAGGAAATTTTCATTGGTTCCTATACACTTTTACACGAATTGGTATGTAAACTTCTATAAATTATGAAGTGAGGAAATTTCTGGCGTCGGCTGAGGAAAGCGAAGATATATTCTAGCACTGGATTGAAGTTTAACCCTAGTGAAGAGAGAACACCAGTGAAAAACATATTTCACCATTCACTTCGCGGAAAACGTTTGTGTTATCGGTTTTCGCGGAAACATATACGTCCTATAATAACACGGAGTATTACGCCACTTCTCGTTAAATTCAGGTGAAACACCATTATTAACTCCCAATTATTATGTTCATAACGTATTATCAGTAGTTAATATAGGATTAATGGAGTTTTACCCGTTTTACGTGAAGTGGCGTGAAACTCCATGTGAAAAATGCGATATTCGCGATAATATGCAGTAGTCGTGAAATGCATTTTGCACTGGTTTTTTTCATATCACTAGGGAGAAACTCCATTATTTCCCTGTTGTAGTTGATTTCAACCTCGTGAGAAAATCTCAGGTGGTTTTCCTGATCTCGCAGTTTTTCTGCATATTTCTGATGTTGACAGTGTGTGAGGGAAATATGCACATGGTAAACTCTGTGTTGGTGACAATATGAAAATTTTTCTGAATGCTTGGGAAATTCTCTTTCTTTTATGAACATTTCTGCTCTAGCGCATATAAATTCCATTAGTTAGTGAGGAGCTCAGCTGAGGAAAGCGAACGTATATTCCTACTCCAACACTGGAGTTTAACCCTAGTGATTTGAAAAAAACATATTTCACGACTACTGCATATCGTGAATTTCGCGTTTTTTACCGAGTTTAACGCCACGTAAAACGGGTGAAACTCCACTGTATCTTACATGAGTTGCAGTAGGTTGAACGGAGACCTACTGTAAGCTCGATAGCTGCCAGAGTGAGTCGGCCGACAGGAATCTTCCTAACACAACCGAAAACATCAGGGAGATCATACACTCCGAAAACAGACACGAAAAAGGTAGGTTCTTCCTGGACTTGTGTGAGAGTGGTTTTAGGAAAACTGGTGATGTGAATGACTCCGATTTACCTATCGTCGCTTGTATGCCGTAGCGTAGCGCGAGATTGTTGTTACATAGAATGCCATGAGGCATCACCTAATTTTGTTGTCATCACGACTATACGATCAACCTTTTGAATATCTGTGCATTGTAGTATTTGAGATATATATAGGAGTTTCACCCTAATGATATGTAAAACACTAGTGAAAAATATATTTCACGACTACTGCATACCACCGCGAATATCGCGTTTTTCACGCAGTTTTACGCCACTTGACGTAAAACAGGTGGCAATTATTCCGGAAAACTCACAAAGAGTAAAGCCAACTGTTTATGAGATGATCCCTTCAACATCATAATTCAGAATCATGATGTCATACAACGTGTAAGGATAGAACACAGCAAACCTCTAGCACTGCAAGATGGAGGCTTGAAACAGAAGGAGACGACTTACTCTGGGGTGATCGTGGAAAAACGGAGTCCCTGGTATTTGAAAGAAAGCTGCCATACGTTCTTGGAAAATAGAAAGTGGGTATTTTTTCAGCGACATATGTTTGATTTCCTCAGCTCAGCTCAGGAGTTTCCTTAGTGATTATAAGAATTCACTTACGAATTCAGGCAGTTGAGAAACCAACAAAAATCTCCCAAAATTTCCACACTATCACTAAGTTAGTGACACTAACACATGTAGTTGGTCGGTATATATTTTACCGTACTTACCGTAGATTTCATATTGTCACTAACAATTCATCAGGGTTGGTTTCTGTGTTACTGGTGGAAAACAAGGTAGTGGGCATAAGGAAATGTAACAACACATATTCTTGACTTTCACCCAATAAGCGATTCTCTACTAGAGGACCTTTTTATCCTCAGCTACATAGCGAGCTGGAGGGCTTCTAGCTCGCTTTGTAGCTGATGATGAAAAGATACAATTACAGAATTACCCTGACACGACAATACAAGTTTATTACCATACCACCTTTCAGGAACATCCTACGTCGTAGAATGGCAACTGAGATGAAAAACAAGGAAATAAACAGATTGAATCGAGAAGCACGGGATAAAGTGAAGTCCAGGAAACGCTCACTGCACCCTAGGGTTCAGTTCTGCCCGAGTTGATTTAAATTTCATCGCTCGATGATAGAAATTGAAATGCATCATTGACCAATATCAAATCCAGTTCTATTTTACAAATCCTGAATTTGTTACAAAGACACCCTCGGAATTTGCGGAGATTATGGTATGTATGTTTAACAGGAAGAAATGTTGGAGAAATCTGAGATGATCACCGAAAGCAACATAGCCAACTTTGATGCCTATATGAAGGAGTATGTCTCCAAGGCTCGCGATGCAGTGGCAAAATGTGATGCCGTGAGTGAAATGAAGGATGAGAAAATCAACAAAGTAATTCCTCCAACGCTGAAACGTGATCCATTATCACTTTGGAATTGACAGTTGAGATCTCTAAGGAAAGACTTGTTGGTGCTGGAAAGAGAGACATCAACACTTCGTGAATTGCAACAAGAGCTGGACGAGTAAACCATAAGGGAGGCTTGATGATGAAAAGTTTATTCATTATGTTGAGGGTCATTGCTTTCCTTTTTATATCTATTAGATAGCATAAGTTGGTACAGAAGATGCTTGCGGTAAGTATTTTCTTTATTCAAGAGATAAAAAAATGGAAAAATGGAAAAAAATGGGGGAAAAATGGAAAAAATGGGGAAAAATGGAAAAAATGGGGAAGAATGAATGAAAAATGAAGAAAAATCAAGGGGAAGATCAGGATCAAGGATTAGAAGAAAGGGAAAATTTTGAAAAGAGTTACAACATTTTTTTTCAAAGGGTAGGTAACCTGCCTTTTCCTATTTTTTCATTGGAGACAATACTGTCCCTAAGATATTCACCACTACACAGTGAAAACACTTCTCATAGCAACGTTACATAGTAAGGATGGTATCAGCTTACATCCATATTACTAAGCAAGATTTCTGGTCATTGCAAGTGAGCATACTAATCTATCGCAAGAATTGCTGAGAAGAGAGGCCCTTTGTTCTGACTCGGAACTTCTGGACTCAGGACTTCTGAGTCTATTCCGTTAACTCGATACGTATATGTGAGGAGCGTGCAGTGAAACGGCTATGAGCTGTGAAAATTGCGCTTCACTACATATCTATGAAAGGTTCATGAGTATTATCAATTTCTCTTGATAAAGTATGCGTTATGTGAATGGCTATGCATGGCTCCAATTTCAGAGGAAAACTGTCTTTGTTGTTGGAGGAGAGATCGAAATTTCCGTGATTTGCTTGGAAAAATGGCACGCTCCTTACGGCACAATCACTGGTCTGGTCTTGACAAGAACATGTTGTATCCAAAGTTGAATAACGTGGCAAGTTCAACCACAGCCAGCACACTGAAGTTTCACCCATGATATGAAAAACACTAGTGAAAACAGATTTCGCATATGGTGTATATTGGAGTCTCACTCGTAAGTGGCGTTTAACACCAAGTGCATATCACGGGTGAAACCCCATTATATGACATACTTGTTATAGTTAATATAGGCGTATATGATATATTAGTAGAGTTACAAATGGTAGATATCGGAAATTTCTGGAGGAGGTGACCCCGAAAGAATGGCTGTTGGAAAAGATAGAGCAAAAGGCCGCTAGGGAGGAGAGAGTGAGACAATTGGTGAAACTGTGGAATGAACAAACGCTGGTGGAAATCCAATACTAGCACAGTGCGTGTCAAATTGATATGCAAATGTACTGTATGTAATTTTCCGAGAATAATAAAAATCGATCTGAAACTATATCGCGTAAGAAACGTAAGCATTGCTATGAACATGTGATGTGATGAAGGAAACCTTTCGAGACTGTGATAGCGACAAGTTGTCCACTATCATCAAACCCGGAAGAGAAAATGCATTTGCATATCAAATTTTCACACAATGGAGTTTCACCCTAGTGATATGAAGAACACTAGTGAAAAATATATTCCACGACTACTGCATATCCCCGCGAACGCCGGGGTCTTCACGGAGTATTACGCCACTTCACGTAAAACGGGCGAAACTCCACTGCATAACGCCCAGTTGTGCTTTGGTTTCATTTTGCCATGATTTCGTTGACTTTTTGATTCGTATGAAATTCATGTTACGCAACTGCTTTTTGTGTATTGTGGAAATACCGTCAAGTGAGCTCATACAGTGACTGCTGCTGCGGTTTTCGCTTTCTCTGGTTCTCGACCAGCACTTTGTAGGGAATCACCTGTTCGTAAGTTCGCGTTACCCAACGCAGCACTTCATTGAGAGAAATCGCATTTACGGTAGGCAACACGTAAACGAGGCGCAAGGCCGCTGAAGGAGTCCTCTAATGGAACGGCGCACGAGCAGAATAGAGAGTCAGAAAGTTCCAATGATGATATAAAACTGTAAGCGATATTTCCCTGCTGCATTTCGCGCGCGCCCTGGAAAATAAAAAATGAATCTACGAGGTAAATTGTGTTTCTGTCACTAAAACTGCATAAACCATCGCGGAATTTATATATTACTCGCGAACGATCGAGGGAAGAAGGGAAGAGCTAGCTCGGGAAGAAAGAACACATGTAACGCTTTCTAGCGTGCTTGAACTCATGGGGAATAGCACGCTGAGAAGGGGTTGGATCTCAACTCTAGCTTCTCCTCTCCTAACGTAGCCGAGAAGTTACAGGGTGAGGACCAATCCACAAAGCGTGTATGATTATCGCGAGGAAAAAGCAACTATTACATTGGCCTCGATGTGAGTAGATATTTCACTCAACCACAACAGCTCTTGGACGTACTTACAGAGCTTGAGGATAAGAACTTGTTGGCTATTCAATTGGAAGCGGAGTCAGATCAGGTGAACACTTAACATTAGTATTATGTTAATGACGGGCTACCTTATGGCTACATTATAACGTAGTCATTCCGAGGCTTATCTTACTCACGTACTCATCTGTTTTCTTCAGAACAGAATTATACACCATAGCATTGTAGAGTATTGCTTTGAAAGCAGTGGAGTTTCATCCATGATATGAATAACAATAGTGAAAAACATATTTTACATTTCACTTCGCGCAGAACGCATGTGAGCAGTGGAAAACGTGCAGAATACGTGAAGTGATTTGTCTCGTGCACCCTATTATCAGCGTCAATTCTACCAAATGTTTTTTCTCTGTGTAATGGAGATTTTTATCTTGCCTGGAGTTGGTCGGTCTGACTCCGGCCGAAGATGAAACTCTACTAAAGTGTCATTTACAATGTGAAAGTTACCAGCAGGAACACTGGAGTTTCACCTGTTTCACAGAAAGTGGCGTAATACTTCACGTGAAAAACGCGATATGAAGTGAATTGAGAACGATTGGCGAAATTAAATTCAAAATACAGGAAGCTTTGGAGTAATGATGGATAATGACAAAGGCGTCTTAGATCCTTGGAGAGCTCACACGCACATACGATGATACTGTTAGTGCTGCAGAGAAAAGGAAGAACGGTTTAAAGAAGCAGATAGAAGTAGGTATATGCCTATATCTGTCAATCAGTTTGGATGGTGAAATTCACACGATACAGTGGAGTTTCACCCGTGATATGAAAAACAATGGTGAAAAGCATACTTCGGCTCTCACTTCGCGGAAAACGCATGTAAGCTGTGAACAGCGCGTAAAACACGTGAAATTCTGAGAGCGTTTCACGTGAAATGGGATGATTTGTCCGTGGTGGTTTCAATCCACTTTATAGCGCGAATATCATGTTATTCACAGGGAGTATTACGCCACTTCACGTAAAACGGGTGAAACTTCACAGATGATAGTTTTACATATCACATGGAAAACACATCGCATGTTTTACGCCTTATTCACTTAGTCGAATTAGTAACAGTTGTTTCTGGAAATAGTGAGGAAACCCCCGAGCTCAGTTGAGAAAAGCGAACATTTATTCCTCCGACATTGGTTTAGAAAAATGTCAACCAGAAATTCACTAATAATATTATAAACGACATTTTACTTCATAATTGTGCGCGAAATTCAGAGTGTTGAGAAGTTGGTATCAGCCGAAGAAAAGGCGTGCAAAACGATGAGTGTTGCACTGGCTGATGAATCTATCATCAGCGAGATTGACGCGGAGTTGGATCACATGAGAAAGAAAGTACTCGAGGTAAGGCGACCTGGGAGGCTATGATAACATTTTGGTGATGAACTGTAAAGAAGAGAAACTCTGATAACCTGAGAGAAAGTTAGAGAATTCTGGCCATTGTACATTTGGAATTTCCGGGCGAAATACAGTTCAGGGATAACGCATGTGGTGGAGATGGAGCAGTTCAGAAAGCAATGAGATTAAATTCGATCTATCAAATGCCACATTATTCATACGTAATACGTATTACGTATCATAACAACTGTTGTTATAACAATACCGATGTGGTGACACCACGTGTGACACCACATGACGTTGTCTTTCAGCTATACTCAGCTACAGTGGGTGAATCACATTACGTGGACACACTAGAAATGATCGAAGGAATGGAGTTGAGAGTAGAGAGTGTTGCCCGAGAACTAGATGAATTTGAACGCCGAGATGGAGCGCTCATTAATACTCTTGAGAAACAGGTAAGGGGCTCATCTTATCTGTTCGAAAGATATTTAGTTGTTCAATGCGAACCAAACAGTTATGCATAGGTAGATTTTCGAGATGGATTTCTTCCCAATTTGCGACTTGTACGACTATTGACTACGGAAAGCTTCTAAAACGTTGGTATCAATCGATTCACGTTGTTATCAAAGTTCACTTTCGAGCTCAGTTTGGCGTCGAAAACACTACCTTGCATAACGGATTGGTTCACACTGTAGAGCTTCATCCAATGGGGTTGTTGGGACTTGATGTTTCGGTGACAAGATGAAAATTCTGAGAAAATTTTTGGGAATTTCTCACTGGTTTCTGTACACTTCTACCCGATTTTTTTGCCAATTTCTATGATTAGTGAGGAAACTCCTGCGCTCAGCTGAATAAAGCGAACATATATTCCTACTCCAACACTGGCCACCTATTGCTGAGTGTTCGTAGGTGGAGAAAGCACGGCGAGACAAGTTGCGCTTAGAAAAAGCCCAAGCTCATAAGAAGAGAATCGAACGCAGGTTGATAGCCGCTTACGAACGCATGGAGAAACCTGATGAGAAAAGCAAACCCGCGAAACCAATAAGGTAACAGTGAAAGTGAATCGGATAATACCATGAAGCGTTCAGGTTTCGATCGGTTCCCACGGATGCTACACAAAAACGAAGACAAACTGCTGAGGAGATCAGAAAGCAAGCTCTTAAGGAATACACTGAGGTGGGTGTATTGAAGGAGCTTTATTTGATGTCTCAAGTTGTAGTTGTTGGGAATCGATGCTGCTGAATATGAAATCCAGGAGGAACGACAGTGATATTCATGAGAGCGGTGAGTGAGCGAAGAGGATGTTTAGTCATAGTAAGAGTTTTTGTGTTGGATTCAGACACATGTATTCAATTCGATATCGTAGACTGATTTCATCGGTTGCCGTTCCCTTTCTGTCAGGCGCTACTCGAGGCATTGTTCGCGTTATACATGAAGTGCGGTTGGAGTTATCTCTGATAATCATCGAGTTGTGTTAGTTTCATGTTTTGGGCGTCTCGCTATGGATGAGAATGAATCGCAATGGAACATCGAGTTGCTTTATAGTGGACAACATAATAGGTTTTCAGTGAAAACTCAAACCCATCGAGAGAGATTCGAGTTGGCAATCAGACAAAACTCTCCAATGCTGCATAACCCAACTCGAAACAAGAAGATAAAACTTTAAAGGGTGCATTCAGAAGCGATTGTTGGCAGTAAAGTGTGTAAATGATATCAACGTATAGCGGGTGGGTTAGCCCAGCTGAATAGGATATCATATCGGCTTGAGTCTGGAAAGAAGGTTACAATACGGTGAGGATAATCATATCAACGATACCCCTCCCGATATTCGAACCATGGACCTTCCGTAATGCCAACAAGAATAATACCACTAGGCTATATGAGATGCATAATCTCACGAAGAACATGAAGCCTCTCTGATTCGATGTACATACTTGTTTCGCTACTCCCTCATCATAGTCATCACAAGCCGGGGTCGAACTCGGGCGTTTCCTCTACCGAACCGCCAATCGACCCACTAACCCAATAAGGCAGTAGTACGATACATCTCGTTTGAAGGAGACGATATCAGCCACAACAGTAGCACCAGCAATAGCAAGGAACAACTAAAATAAAGCCCCAGGTAGTTCGCGTTGAGGAAATGCAAGATTGTCCAAGATTTCAAGATCTCTAGCAACATACATCGCGTAGCTCTAAACAGATAGGTAGTGAATAATAGTACTATTACAAAACAATACACAGAAACAATGCTCACTGTCCTAGCAAACTTGCACGCATGCACAACATAGCATCTTTGACTAGTGCAATGAACGGTCAGCCTTCAGCCAACTCGAATCGGTTTCTGATACAAATCGTGAAAAACTTTTCCACTGAGAAAGATGGTAAGACCAGTAGCAAATGAATATAAACAACTGTGTAAATTATTCCGCAACTGTAGAAACTTTACGCCACCTTAACCGCTGGATTTACCCTTTCCGCACAGTAACGATATCGCGGAGGTGCTCGATGGTGATCTCGTCTTCGCCTCTCATGATGATGAGGCAACCCCCCACTGCATGATCTCCTCAATTCCACAGACCGCGATGACCGCGCGCCCATTAATTCACCCGCACTCCTAGATGCATAGTAGTAGTGCATTTGTCGACTTGATAAAGGAGAGTCCTCGAGTATGGTACAGAGTGGAGACGACGAGAAGGATTGCCTCATGGGAGGAGGTGGAGGTGGAGGGCAATAATCTGACGGAAAAAATATCACAAAAAACGTAGTGGAGAAATGAGTAATAAAATACACTCCAAAATCGTTGCGTGATAAAAATCACCAACAAGAAGCGATCTGTTATTAGTTATAACGGGTGCCTTACCGGCGATAGTAGTATCTTATTACTCGTAGCAGATCCACATCTAACCCACGACCTGTTTTCTGCATCACTGCTATGTCCCCTCTTGGGAAGGCATTCTTTGATAATCGAGGTGGGAGATGCTCCCACCAGGTTTGGAACCTGTGCCGGATTCATAGCCACGGCTCCTGACATATAAACACAGTTGAATACTACTCGCGCAGATCATCTACTCAGCAGACGATTAAAGCAACGGAGTCTCATCCGGAAGAAATATCCCTCTTTAAAACGTTCATATCTTATAAAAAACCACACGATGAAATCGAACCCGCGACCTCTGTGACATTATCACCTTCCCCTTCCTCACTCGACTGTTCTTCTGTTCTCGAACGATCACATTTATTAACTTCATACAATTCGTTACATTCAACTCGCTTCGCTCCGCTAACCTTCACACTGTACATTCCCTCCTCCGCCACCTCTGGTATTGACGAACCGCAACCCATCCTTTGAAACTTCACTATTACTACTACCTCTACCCTGCTAACGTACACTCAGTAGCTACACCGCTGTAGCAATAGCAATAAAAAAGGGAACAAACAATCACAACTGATATTATATAAATCTTCCCTGTGCGCTAAGATTCACCGACCCTTGAATGCAGTACACTTGCAATGCTCATGTTCAGATTTTCTCAGACATCTCCTAGATATAGTGTGGACTATCTAGGAAGAGGTTTTCATCTGTATACACAGTCTAAGGTTATTCTGAGAAATTATGATGGTGACACGAGACCCTCTGTTACCTAGTAAGAACTACCGATAACGATGTATGAACAAATGCTTTGCATAAGTACTACTACATGAAGGGATGTACTCGGAATACGAATACATTCAATACCCATAAATTACACTAGGCGAGTAATACAGATTCACCACCACTACTAGGACAACACAATGCGCTTACGATTAAATAAAAGGAATATACATTTCCTCATTCTCCACTACAAGAGTAACCGTTACTCAAGATACCAATTACGTGTTACAAATAGCGCTCGCCCAGATAATCGATTACGTTCGGGAACCATTATGTGAGCACAGTCCTATCCTACACAGATATACTGAGGCCCTCTGTAATAAAGCCTAGATGTTGCAAATAGCGCGGGCTCAAGCAACCTATTGAATTTTTCGAAGCTATCCTCAAGGCTGTCTCGTATTCCAGTGTGGTACGTAGAACAGCATTTTTCGAGTCGCGCGCGCCACAGTAATCGATTTATATTCCTCGCGAAATATAATGCTACCCTTATTATTCGGAGTAGGAGTTGGAGCATTGGCCGTACGACAAGGTAGTATGCACTGGGAGATACTCTGGAGGTGTGGTAGGAGATTATGTGAAAATTTCGCGGAAAAAGGAAAATTTTTGCCGAAAACTTTTGCCGAACGCATTTTGAAAACGATGGAGTTTTTATCCGTAAAATGCATTCGAATTAGTAGTTGATTAAAATTATAATTTATTCGTTCGCATTTGCACAGTATAGGAAAATATCCACATGGCGGTCAACTACATGTGTTGGTGATGACAATATGAAAATTCTGGGAGGAAATTTTTGGAAGTCCGTCTTTGTTTCCGAACACTTCTACTCGAATTCATATGTAAATCTCCATAATTAGTGAGAAAACAGTTGAGGAAAGCGAAGGTATATTTGTACTATTGTAATATGCGAGTAACACTCTAACAAAAGTGATAAAGTAACCTAATTTACTAGTACAAATAGTATTGGATATTTTATCTGATACAATTAATGTAAAATCGATCATCGTAGCGTCCTGTTTCCATACAGGTAATCGTCCAGAAATCTATAGTGTTCATTTTGAATTTTCCGTATGATTTCGAACAGTTTCCCATGTAAATGTTACAATCACATTAGTAACATTATTTCCCCCCAGTGCGGGAAAATATGCAAACGGTCAACTACATGTGTAGGTGCCGATATGGAAACTCTGAGGAAACTAGAGGGAATTCTTATTGGTTTCTCTACAATTTCACCTGAATTCGTATACGAACTCCTATTATCAGTGAGGAAACTCCTGAGCTCAGCTGAGGCAACCGAACATATATTCCAACACTGTTTTCCCCATTGTTGTTATCAAACTCTGGGTTGACGTCATTTCAATAGTTGATTCTCCTAGGTATACGATTCGCCAGTGCAGCTGGTATGAGCATACCGAGGATGTCGAGGTTGTTTCAATTATCTAACATGAGGGGGCTTGAAGGTTTCGAACAAACTATGTCACGAGTAATATCATGGAGTTTCACGCGTTTTACGCGAAGTGAAATGTGAAATGTGTTTTTCACAGCACGGGTGAAACTCCAATCTATTCAAGTATTTAGTATTTCTTCGGTGGGGAAAATATGTGCATTGTCAACTACAGAGGTGAAAACTCTCTAACATCAAATATGTGATAAAGTTTCTTGGTACTAGTAGACGATAACGTGCTCCTCTGTTCAGCCTTGGAAAATATCGCTCTCGTAAAGGCATGCTTCTTAGTACGTTGCAGTATGCATCCTCTATGACGATGCTATGTGAATATGGTGTAATTATTAAGTAGTGGTTGACGAGTCAAACACTCCAATATTTGTCAATTAAGATTTCCGTTCGATTTGGGATGAACTTTCCGTTGGAATTTTTTTGTTGGTAGTAGAAAAAAATTCTCATCAATTCTTCATAAGTCGTTTCGTAACATCCCTGCGACGTTCCGGTAAGTCGTAGATAAGTATATTGCGCTGGAGAGCTCTATCATGAATTCTTATCCAATTCGAAGTAATCTCGCGAGTATTATAGTCTTGGCCGACATATAATCCTTATTGAGTCATCACAAGTAGTATGCCAATGACTACAGAACATTTTATTGCGAAGCTCATATTTGAACTCTCATGAATATACTTTCCATATCGATAAGTCTATATCGAGCAGAATGGGTCGTTTGAGTCGTTTAGATTCCGCGACATTTACATGATATTTTATTAATTACAACATTGTCTCGGTTACTCTAACGCGAGTGAATAGTGACCACCATTTTATGAATTTTCCTTTTTTCTTGTATAGTCGGAAGCCCGCAAGATTCTCAATTTGGGGCAGACTCAGCTCAGCAGAGATAATATTCAAAAGGTAAGTCGCCTCTTCAAAGAGACGTCTACTTTTTTGTCTTCTTACTCAGCATCACCGACAACTATTGCTTTCCAACCATCCCGATCGAGGTGGAAGTACTTACATAGCTTCCAAGATTAATGAAGCAAAGGATGTAAAATCTCCTATGTTCATCTCAGCGTTTTGAATGTCTCTTAGTTTACGGCTAAGTCGTCTACTGCATTACATTCGTTGGGGCCTCCTTTCAATTGTGCTGAGTAACCGTCTTATCAGGTACTGCTCGGAAAACGACGATGAATTGCTCGAGTTTTATAGAGTGGCTGTAACCGGATTGTTTGTTTGCTTCTGTTGTTTTTATACTACTATTCAACCGAAACACCACCATTCGCTGAACCATAGATAAGACTATGAGTTATTGTCAATTCATCACGAGAGTTCTGGTTGACTCGAATCGGGGTGGACGGACTTATACGATCTGGAAGAGGTCACATTCATGGTGATGTATCATCAATCGAGTTCGTTGTAAGGAATTTTCTGGCCCAGAACGAATTTTGAATTAATATAAGCCTTCTTAGCTTAGTTGGTAGAGCACCCGCTTAGTAAGCGGGAGGTCGTCGGTTCAACTCCGGCAGAAGGCTTTTGCTCTTGTTTTTATGGGATGCTTGTTTCTGTGGTAAGTGCAAGTACTTTCCCCTCGCGTTTCGCAGTGTGTGACTCTCGAGCATCTGGGGATGATACTACCATATTCGTCTTTCATCTACCATCATGGTGGGAAACTGAACGTCGAATTCAAGAGACTCCCGCACGATGATTGTCGAACGACAACGCAACCAGTGGAAGACCTCGAGAAAAAGATCGAAAGAGGATGTTATATATATAGACATTAAACGATACATCAGAGCCACGAGTTGGGTATGATAGCATGTATAGTCCGGATCTATAATGCATAGCGTATAGGGGAAATAAAAACTGTCCTAACGCGAACGGCTTGGCTATATCATAGATCTCATCTTATCAACTGCAACTTGACGGATGTCACCTCTGCTAACACGTTCGCCGAAACTCTTGCCTTTCTGGGCTGCCTCGGCCAGATGTCTTCGCTGCGGTGAGGATGTGGAATTGACTGAACGACTAATTCGATCTTACAGGCTCAACAGCAGGGTTCTTCCGATAGATCGCAAGGTCCCCCTGCGTAAGGCCAACTCTGGAGCTCGTCAAATACTCATCGTCGATTAGCATTTCCCCTGTAAGTTCGGGATCATTGACGATGCAGAGTACCTAGAGTTATTGGGATTCCGAGCTTCGGAGGGAATCAAGATGGGCGAGAAGGCATACTGCTGTGAGAACTCGAAACCCGCTCGCGTACGTGATCGGAAGGTAGATGAAAATTTTAATGATTGGACTCACGCAATCAGCTAGAATGGTGGATTTCCTCCAATCGTCTTTTTTTCCCAATTCAAAATTTGTTGCGGCTTGCGACTCCACGACCGTTGCAGGCCACAGACAGTTCCCTATCAAACAACCGTGATAATTTGCGAGCTTCCAAAAAAAAGGTGCGGGGATTCACCACAACGAGTGAAACCTTGATCACTATTGTACTGACTATCGCCCTTGGGTTCGTCTGCGTCGATTTTGGTTTGGAACTTCAGAGCATATAAACATAACCTCTCGCGTCTGACGACTCGATTAAAATGTTCCGTAGGATGGCATGAAGATTTCTTTCGTATGTGCACAACGACAAAAACCATCATAAATACAGTCGATGGAGTACAGCCCAGAAATCAACCGCGCTTGAAGATGATGATAATGATACGGCTAACTAGACGAGCCCCGTGTTGCATCTTACCTGTGACATTATGTCCCTGTCCCTCTGCGGCTGCACCCAAAGCCGACATTGTCATACCGAACTTGCTTATGTTATATGCCGTCAAACCACGGTAACTTGAGATCACCAATCAGGAAAATCACAGGGCGAGTTCCCATCCCCGATAGCACCATCGCGCTGGCGAGTCGATCCGCTAGGTGCAATTCCGCATAACAATAGACCTCCGTTCATATCATTCCGACACCCATCCCTCTACTGACCTCATAAAGTGAGTGCTGATAGGAGGGGACATGTTGATGACTCTACCATAGTTGTTCTTTTTCATATGTGGTAGACATAGCTTAGTCATTATGAAGCTTCCTCTACTGTTGATCGATGTAATCAGATCAAACCTACGGGAAATGTGCTCTATAGAGGCAACAAATTGCACCTTCAATTGTAGACTACGATCATCCGAGGTGAGGTCAATCATTGACTTCATCATGTAGACTCAAATGGAGCCTACATGATGGAGTCAATGACTGTCAATGGCATCAGAATTCAGTTTAAACGTGTCCATATATGTAGAGATATCAAGAATTTGTAATAAGTTCAAGAAAGTGAGCGAGATCTCTAGGAAGCTAAGTCTTTCTGATACTAGGTTCCCAGACCGAGATTTTGACAGACATTCTCTCCATCGGTTGGATACACAAGTTGCGAAAGCACGGCAGTGACCATTGAACAAGTATCATTATCCGCCTACTACTTCCTTATGGGAGTCTGTTCCATAGAATGCCACCACATCGCACTGGCGTTGTTAATGAGGATATCTATCCGTCCGAACTTGGCAATGACGGCAGCCACACACTTCTCGCAGGACTCAGCATCCCTTAGATCTAGTTGAAGCGGCAAAACGACTCCTCCAGCTTCCTCGATCTCCCGGGCAACAGTATATATTGTACCTTGAGTAGTAAGAGTCTTATGATACCCCTTATGCGTGAACTCGTTGAATGTATATGTTAATCCTAGAGAGGGTCGTAAGCCAGAAGGAGAGTATTAGTACCATTCAAACCCACTACTACTACTACTACTACTACTACTACTACTACTACTACTACTACTACTACTACTACCAATACTACGATGGGAAGCAATGACCAAGACAGGGGGGAGGACAACTACTATGAATGGGGAGAAGGAGGATAACGTGTGGGCTATAACACTCAAAGGCCACTATGCCCACGGAGGACTATAACATATAGGGGCCACTATGCCTACGGAGGACTATAACATATAGGGGCCACTATGCCTACGGAGGACTATAACATATAGGGGCCACTATGCCTACGGAGGACTATAACATATAGGGGCCACTATGCCTACGGAGGACTATAACATATAGGGGCCACTATGCCTACGGAGGACTATAACATATAGGGGCCACTATGCCTACGGAGGTGTATAACATATAGGGGCCACTATGCCTACGGAGGACTATAACATATAGGGGTCACTATGCCTACGGAGGACTATAACATATAGGGGCCACTATGCCTACGGAGGACTATAACATATAGGGGCCACTATGCCTACGGAGGTGTATAACATATAGGGGCCACTATGCCTACGGAGGACTATAACATATAGGGGCCACTATGCCTACGGAGGACTATAACATATAGGGGCCACTATGCCTACGGAGGTGTATAACATATAGGGGCCACTATGCCTACGGAGGACTATAACATATAGGGGCCACTATGCCTACGGAGGTGTATAACATATAGGGGCCACTATGCCTACGGAGGACTATAACATATAGGGGCCACTATGCCTACGGAGGACTATAACATATAGGGGCCACTATGCCTACGGAGGACTATAACATATAGGGGCCACTATGCCTACGGACTAATAGTTACCGTGCACAATCAAGGATGCTTGTCAAAAATTTGGGTTAACGCGAGTGCGGCATAATAGCGAGTGTAATAAACACTTCGGCGATGGGCTCCAACTAGAATATCTATATTACGAATAGGGCGGACGATCTTATGCTAATGGGAATCAATTACGCTGACCAGGACATCATTTCCGGGAGGACTTCCTGCCGGAGTACTGAACTGTTGTCTGTATACCAATCCTGGAAATTTCAGACATGAAAAAGGAATTCTTCACAATTGAACGCAAAGAAACTGTCTCAACTAAATTGCCCGAGGAGTAGCGTTTATCGCACCATCCGTCACGACTACCATTCAAGGGCCCTACTCACCAGGCAGAGTAGGCGTCGGTTCCACAGTTTTTGCAGCAACAACGACCTTGGCTCCACATCTGAAGGATAGGTCAAACGCTGCGTCGGGGCTCAGGAGCCCATTCAATATTCAGGAGCAATATAAGAATATTTTCCAAAGAACTGCAACGCTCCCACTTCTTGGGGCGACTGTTGGCCCCATGCTAACATGCTTACCTCGCCAGTGCTAAAGCGCACTCTCTGCCAATCCCTCTACTGGACCCTGTCACTAAGGCCACTCTCCCTGTTAGATTCGGTGAGGTTAGACGTGGACATGACGCCATGCTCAAAATCGTACTCTACTGTTTTCCTTGAAGCACGTAATAAACTCGGCAAGGGGGTGATAGACTTCCTATAGCAAAGTTCAGTAAGCCTCCTGTTGAATTTGCAGGCCTCTAGAGCGAACATGTCGTTCTAGCGATAATATTCTCCACGCTCCACACTAACATGGGCGTACTCCGATTGGAATATGAACGAGAACAATTTATTCCTGTTGATTGGGAAAGTAGAGGCGTAAATATTCACAAATGTCAAATCACAATAATTACCCAAGACCATCACCTCCCCCAAACTAATGTGTTAATTGATGAGCACAGAACTTGTGGTTATATTCATCTTATATAAAGGTAGTTGCAGTTAGTCAACTATAAACATTACTGTGCGTGGCAACGCTTGCTGAGCACAGTCGACATCGAGAAAAAAGGGATCGTTGCAAATGGCATAGTACGGGTATTAATACAATAGCCTCGACTGGTACAGCCGCAGTAACTTGTCCATAGAATGGGGACATCTCATTCATATCATCTAACTAACGCTTACAGTGTCAATCAGCTGGCTGCCGCACACAACAGCTAAAAGTAGCCATGGCGTAATAGCATGAAGAATTAATAGTCATAATAGTAGCAGCAGAAGGTATTGTAGACTTAAGGGTTGTTATACGCACCATAGACTGAAATCACTAATACACAGGGTACGCTCGACGACCCCAACTTAACGACATTCCAGAGCTACGATTCGAGAGTATTTGGAAACGCATGGATGAAGAAAAAAGAAGTACAGTTTAGTACAGCGAGTCAGGGGAATGATAAATACACCACAGGAGGCAACCGAGCAAGGTAATGTCTCTGGGAGCAATCTCCGCTGTGCTCATTGGCAACATGTACTACACCTAACCATAGCAGCTGGATATGCACTCCATCATATGCGATGATACACTCGCCCCAGCTGGAGCATCCTTCACCGAAGCTCGTTATAGTGAAAATGGGACGAGACCCTCATACGAGTCCTCTATCATCGACTTACTTCTCTTATGACTACCATTCCACACCAAGCCAGACTCCGGAATAGTAGAAGCACTACGAGGCCGCTTCGAACTGGGTCTTCTCACTGGAGCAGGACTTGGATACAGCCTCTTGATGTTAACAACTAGCTCCCTGATCTCGTCCTCGCTAGCACCTCTCTCTTTAGCTAGCAACATCTGCTCACGATCTCTGACTGATTCCGTCAAAGTCTGCCGCAATGGTCCGTAAATTCGACGCTTGTTAATGTAGACGGTCGAGATATAACCACCAGAATTTTTCCACACTCCGGGAGGAGCCAAGTACTCCTTCTTACGAGTGGAATTCATCGTCACCATTTTGTGAACGTTTTCAACCACTGGCGAACTATTAAGTCTCGCTAAATCCTCCAATAAACCTCCTAAGCACCCCGCTTGATCAGGCACAGTAACTCTATTAACATCACTAGAAGCAGCCGATGGCGTTACGACCGTAGGTTGCGTTGGTGGTAGACCGTTAGTACTGAAAAAAGGGGAAACCCAAGTAGGATGGGGTTCACTAGGCCCAGTCAACACTGGGAACGCTTCATCATGATCATTGGCCTGTCGCACGAATGGTGACACTGACAGGTCGTTGGAAAATCCTCCCATCATATTGGTCAACCCTCGCTGTTGACTGTTGTTGTTGTTATTCGGAGTATCCGAGGTTAGAACACTAGTCAAGTACTGGAGCGTTTGGTTGAGGTTGTCGTAAGCGGGACTCGGCTTTGTTGTTGTTGTTCTTGCAAATAGTGGAGGTTCCTCATCTACTCCAGTGGTAATAGTTGATGTGGAAGAAGCACGAAGAGGCGATAGTGGCTGTAAAGATGAAGATGGAGGCATTCCTCGTTGATGATCAGCTTTAATATAGGACTCGCAAGGTAAGTCCAATACAACCAGAGTTCCAGCGCTGTTTCTGCTGCCGTTAATATGATCGGTCATTAATACAGTAAATTTGAAGTCTGAATAAATGTATTATGATTTAATAATATGACGATGACGCTGTTCATGACGTGCTCGACAGTCGCGCACGCCATTTTAATCGATATGCAAATGCTTCAACGACGTTGGTGTCAGTGAGCATATATATAACAATGTGAATATATCGTCTTTGATAACATAACTAGTCCCTTGCTCTTCAAGCAGAACGCCTTATTTGATCGCGGAAAGTCGCGCGCCACGCCACGGAAGCGCGCGCACTAACATCAACGAGCAATACGAACTTTTTACTCGCTCGGATCCAGAAAGAATGTACGTCTTGTATTAGGGTGACTTGTCATACCTCAAATTGAGGTCCTCAAGGGATCGCTTCATGAAAAGGTTGCGCGCTGAGATCGACTATCCGAACGAAAGAAGATGGACGCATTGAATGCCGTGATTAAAGGGAAAAATTTCCCCCTGACTGCGGGGAGATCGTTCATTCCTACTTGGCGAGAGAAATATGACTAGCTGGAGTATTCGTGGCAGAAGGGTGGTACCTACTGCTACTACTACAGACACTTTGGAGCTCCTAAGGTTGGCAAGGCATCACCATTTTTCGCCGACCTGGACGGCTTCTGCAACTGAAAGAAGATTATTCAGCGGTTCGGAGAGCGCGCGGCCAGTGAATATCATCATCCGACGGCGTCGGCTTATCTCGAATGGGATATGATGAAGCAGAAAGGACAGTCTGTGGCGTCTCTGGTGAACAAGCACAACGAGAAAACTATCAAGGAGAACCGGCATTACTTGACAACCATTCTGGAATGCGTCATTTTCTGCTGTACACAGGGGATCGCTCTCCGTGGGCACAGGGAGGTCTTTGAGATTGGGGATGACTCGAGTCAGAATTTGGGCAACTTTGTAGCTCTCACACGCTTTTTATCGAAATATGATGAAGTTGTCCGACAGAGGTTGACTGATGGGCCAGCGAATGCTAGATATCCACATAATAGCATACAGAATGATTTGATAGCTTCGGAAGCTAAGCTTCCTCGGCTAACCTTATTCGTCGGCAAGTATCCGCGGAAGTTGGAGAGTGTGGCACATTCAGTCTCATTTGCGATGACTCATCGCCGATGAGGCGAGAAACGTCTCACACGCGGAAAGACTATCATTATGTGTGAGGTATGTGTACGGTGATAAGATAAGGGAAGAGTTTCTCGGCTTCATATTGAGCGAAAAGCTGGATGCAGCTGGCCCCACGAACGAGATATTCGAGGCTCTAGGTACCGTGGCCATCAATCCGTCTGTGATGGTCAGCCAGTGCTATGAAGAGGCTAGCGTTACGAGTGGCGCCGTAAGCGG